CAACTAGGCTAAACTAGAAACTATACATATTTAATTTTAGTTTGAACAAAACCATTACGTAACTGTACTTTCGCTTTTAGTGCAGTTAAAAAATTAGATCCAAACATCTATTTCATTATAACCAATGAGGTATTAGTAATCAGATCCTTGTTTTGCGCAAAGATTTCTGGGATCGCCACGCGGCAAACATTGCAAGTTGTTGGAGGAAAATATACGGCGAAAGGTTGTTTCGACGTCCAAACGAACGATTTTAGAGAGAGATCCGCGCTTTTTCCCCGCAGTTTTATCATAAATGGATTAAGATAATGTTGATACGAGGGAAGAGTAAGTTTTTCTTGGCATTACCACGAAATATGTTATAAAATATACCGTTGAGTTCTCTCCTTGTGTAAGGTCTAGTGTGGAATCGTCATCGCATAATGGTCTCAACATATTACAAAATTAGTCTTAAATCACAAGGAAATAACTCACTTAACTCTTTTTTTTTTTCTGTATGTAAACAAATTACGATGTCTGAAATTGAAATATACCTCATCAAAGGAGCGAAGTCGTCGTCAGCGGAGATGGAAATTGTTTGGCCGAGCTCTTGGTCTTATGTTAATAAGCAATGAAAAACAAAAGGAAATCACTCGGTTAAGTGATGATTTGTCGAGAAAAATCCTAGGGTTTTTGAGCGGCTACTTTTCTCCTCGAACTCCTTGAAGAAACTTGTCAGGAAAAGTAAGATCACAGGAACTCCGGCAGAAAATGTGGACATATATTCAGTTCTGCATCGCTCCGTAAGCGACCCATTTCTAACTACTAATTTAGTGCGAATGTCAGAGCTACGAAGATACTCCAAACAAACATTAAGTAACATCGGGTCAAAATCGGATGAAGTCCGGCATTCCAATGTTATACTCACTTAATCACCCACTCCCTATAGGAGGCAGTAGCCACAAAAATTATGAGAGTATGAGCTTCCTTCGATAAGTTCAACGCACAATTGAACCTGGTCCGTGGACTATGGCTTTTAAATCCTTCGTTCGTGCCCCAAACTTCGCAACTTCGCATTTATTAGTGGCGGATCTAAGGGGCGGAAGGAGAAGGGGGATCTACCCCCCCCCCCTTCCCCGCCGTGAGACCTGTAGGTCTTAACTACTTTTCTTTCAACGGCAGGACCACTAATTAATGCTCAACACAAGGTATCAGAATTGATCTATCTTGAAATATCGCCTAGCTTATCGAGGATCTTATTGAGGCTAAAGTAATGTAATCAAGACCTACGCGTAGATTTGTTCGAAGCTTCAACACGTATCCCCCACCCCACCGAGGCAAGGTTCAAATTCTCTATCGCCCGGGCACGGACGACAGTCAAATGTCTGTAGGTTGCCCGGGGGCGTATGTTAAAGCATTATGAGTTCTAATTAGTATTAATTTTTTTTAGATAGAATTCACATCTATTCAGCTTCTTTTCGCCCCCTTGATGCTCGTTTCACGCCACAAGTTTAGGCTTTCGCGTTTTTGCTCCCCGAAAAAACCCGACGAGAGCTAAAATGCGGTTTTCCCTTCCTTGTAGACGAAAGCGAAGATAGTGAAGATGACTGCGCTCATTGGGAAGAATATATGAAGAGATTCCACATCTTAATGAAGGTTAGTGGGCACTAATTCATGATTTCTAGTTCAACGAAACCCTTCAATTAAGTTTTTTGTTTTATTTAAAAAAAAGACCATGCATTTGAATTTATCGAGGATGGCACTTTTGCCTCTCCAATAGTGTGTTCCCTGTGCATACTTCATGAGTGATCAGGTCTAACCAGCTGTTTAGGGCTGTAAATCGTTAAGAAAAGAGTTACTGAGAAAATCTTGAGGGGATTGCATATTATGATATTATCATAAGCCTTCCACCTTTGAATCAACATTCTTTAAGATCCTCAATGGTTTCTTTCTATTTTTAAAGGAAAATGGCTGGTATCCTTTTCAATACGGAATTTGGCCACGGCAACGCACTCATAAAGGAAAAAAGATTCCAGAAGCTGTCCGTAGGACATTAATGAAGCTGCTGGACATCGAGTCAAAGCCCGGAAACTGGAGGTATCTGGCTGAACGTTTAGGAGCATCTTATACAGATGTGCAATTTCTGGAGAGCCGCAACCATGAGTCACCAACGCAACACGTCCTCAACGTATTCGAAACAATGAACAAGCCTTTAACTTTTCTGAGAGACATCTTCATTGACCTTGACCGCCACGATGTTGTTACTGTGTTAAATGACGAGATTAATAGAAGCCAAATAGGCCACGGGTCAGGGAATGAGCCGACACTCCTCCCCGCTCCTCCTCAACGAAATCGATTGGATCCGTAATGGATGTATAGGACCAAGACAGTGGGTTCCGCATTGATCTTGACCGCGCCGACGTTGTTACTGTGTTAAATTACGAGTTAAATTGATTCCAAGTAGGCAACTGTTTAGGGAATGAGACCACACCCACCCCGCTCCACAGAGAAATCGAGCTTGGATCCGCAGTGGATGTAAAAGACATAGGACAGTATTAACTTAACACTCAGTGCAGTCCTCACATTGCTCTCTTCATAAGAGATATATATTCCTGATTGTCATCGTATCTTGATGACGTTAGCGTTGTTACGGGAAAATTTAGTGATTTTTCCGTGTGTTTGTTTGGAACATATGTACGCATAAAACTTTCATGTTACCCGTTTTCGAGTTATTCAAGCTGTTTCGCTCTAGTTTTGCAAAGAGTATACAAAAGACAGTAGTTTTTGAATTGCCAGCTATTACATTATTGCTTATTACAAATATGCTGTTACGAAAGGTTTTCTTTTTGATACGGAATAAAGATAGCATCAGAATAAGAGAAGCAGGGAATACAAATAAATCCATTTTCATGTTAATCATCAATTTTCGATTAATTCAAGTTCTTTCGCTTTAGTATTTCAAAAAATATAGAAAAGCCACAGTAGTTTTTGTGCCAACTATTGCATTATTGCTTATAACAAATATGCTGCTATGAAAGGGTTTTATTTTTTATACGCAATAAGTATAGCAGCAGAATGAGAGAGGCAGGGATTAAAAATAAATCTATTTTGAACGTTACTAGGAGTGTGAGTGTTTATTGTGGCGACAAATTTTGCCGTTAATTGAAATCATTGCAGTTCCCTCGAATGTGATTGGTGTAAGAACTCCTTAATTTTTTCAGTGTATCCAGACAGTATATAGATCGTAATTGATTACAGTGAGTATAGCAACAACTTACCATGCAAAGCTAGGGATATATAAAACTGGCGGAATATAATGCATTCGGTAATATTCATGCTGCAGATGTTTTCCCTTATTTTGGAGAAAAAAATTAAAGTGTCACCCCTACATTTCTAGTAGTTTTAACTGACATTTTATGATACGAAAACCGATCTTCCGTTTGTTGGGTCACCACGAGTCGATCGATCAAAGAGGCGTCAAAGACATGGTAAATTCCCCAAAAACAACTAGATCGAACCGGGTGAAGCGATCAATTTGGCGATATCTGGGCCCCGTTATCATCGCATGCTTGATTTCAGTTGTCGCCCTTCCTCTAAGTTTGATGGTGGTTTCCGGAAAAATCGGCAAAAAGTGTTTCCTTTGAGAGAAAAGCATTGTGAGACAGACTGCTTCGTAAACACATATACTTGGTAGTATGCCATCGTTGACTTCTCCATCTTAATCAAGATAAAGGCGTTGTCACTGACATCAGTAGCTACATTGGCAATGCTTGAGACTGTGTTGGGTTCAGCACTCGGAGGACACGGAAATGAGTACTGGAACTTGCCAAAACGATCGTAAACTTTAACATCGCAATCCCGTTCGCCGCCAACAATGATGCGACCTCGTGAGTCTGCAGCAGTACCCTGTGGTATTTTAAGGTGGTTGTCTTTTTCATCTTGTTGACCAAGTGTCAAGGGCTGAACGGAAAACTGCTCCATGTCAAGTCTACAAAGCATTTCGGCGACTCTGGAGTCATGCAGTCGATTTATTGTATCCTTTCCCTCGCCGATCAAGGCAATAGCGAGAGCAGCTCTCCTCTTTTACCTATTATTGACATGACGTCGTAGATGGCCCGGTTTATTTGACAACCAGACGCAATTATATGCCGGCGCTCTTCTTTGCCAAAGAGAAGTCTATGAAAACCCTTCGTCAGTTCTCCGCTAAAACTTTCCTGCACTCTCTTCAAGGAGTGCACACTGCTAGCGCCTGTAGGGGATGAGCTATGTTTTCGAGAATTTTTGCTGTAACACGGATGGCTATTGCTTGAACGCGATTCAACGTGCTCAGACTTTCATTGTTAAACGCTTCTGTTACTTTCAGAAGAAGCACAATTTTTTGGGATGGGAGGAGTGGGGGAGTAAAGGGTAGAATAAAATCATGATGATGATGAATGATGAACTAACAATGTAGCAGTCGTGGGAAGTTTGTGTAGCTGCTTTTGATACACTGTAAATAGTAAGGTGGTAAATGTAAGTCCATTTTTCACTCTTTAATGAAACTCCCCTTAAAGGGAAAGTTCCTCAAAAGGCCAACAAGGACTTAAAAAATATGTGGAGGGAGAGAGTATATGTCAAGTGTGAAAAATAGAAAAGAAATGCGAATAACAGACAGTTTAAAGTTTGGATTGCTATTTCTTTTTAGATTTTAGCAATCAACAATAGAAAACACTGATTTAGCCTACAAACTAGACACCATTACTACTAAAGATTAACCTGGTTTCAGTGATATGAAGACTAGGAATATTACTAGAATTTCCACAATCCCCCCTAAATGGAATGCAAGTCCATTGCAGTGTTAAGCCCTCTCACATTTCAATTGGTTACCCTTAGAGATTTGTGATAATTATTTATACTCATGGTTAACGAGAGGTAATGTGGTCATTAAATGTCCTGCTCACAAACAAAAACTTTGACTCATCTGCGGCTCGGAGCTGGATCTTGTGATCAGAAGTCTGACACTCACCACAAATCCACCATTAACCTCACATAAAACAAAATTCAAAGTATAGTACCGTAGAAGGGTATGACACTCGCAACTCATAACTTTTGCTTGGTTTCAGTTGCACTAAGTGGTACAAGACTGTCTCTCTATGATGTAGAACCTGAAAAATAGAACACAGTCACAAACAATATCATTGAGGAGAAAGGATCAATTTATTATCTCAAAAAGTTTGGGAATTTTGTAAGAACGTAATTTAGCATTTTTAACTGGCCCTTGTACTTGGGGATTCGTTATTCAGCTTGGAATTTTTATGGAAAGCACAGTCGGAATTGATTGAGCACATAGCAGTATGATTTTAAGAAAGGAATGCATTTGGTAAAAGATAAATTTTTCTTGTGTTTGAAAATATATTTGTATTCTCTCTAAAATAGCACAAATTTCCCTCAAGACTGGGGGTTTGAGAAGTTTTCTTGCTATAGGTACCAGGGGTTCTTTTTAAAAGTGCATTAGGTCTCCTCCAATGTTTTGCATTGCAAATCATCAGATAAAAAAACTATAACAAGTGGGGAGGTAAGGTAATCTTATGTTAAATAACTTTTTGGGGAATTATTTTTTAATTATCACTAGCATCATTATTATCATCATAATTACTTTTATTACTATCATTATTAATAATATTATTATATAAGTTTAGGTTATAATAATAATTATAGATTACAATATTAGATTATGTATTTTACTCAATAGATGACAATAAAGATGGAATTTCTATTATTATCATCTCTGTTGTTATTATCATTATCATCATCATCATTATTATTTTTATTATTTTTATCATTATTATTATTATTATCATTAGTATTATTGTTATTATCATTATTGTTATTATTATATTGTAGTATTCCCCAAAACTTACCTGATTCAATAGAGGCTTTTCTGGCTCCAGCCTGTGCAAAGAGAATGTACATAAAAAGTGACTACAAATAAATATAAGAAAATCAAAATCACCGTTTTACCTTGTTTGTGCAAGTATTCGGATAACAGAGCAATAGAGAATAAAACTATGACAAAGGACAACAAGCGAAATTTCGCCAGTCATGTTTAAACATCTAGCTTATTCAACGTTCCTTACAGTTTCAAGTTAAACTGCTGACTAGCAAGACTGTTTGTTCATCTGATACGGTTTCCGCAACATCATGTGACCTACTCGACTTGCCTTGATTGGCTCCCTTTAGGGTTGCTTGAGCATTTGGCAAAATTTTGTCCGGCTCAAAGTCCCCTCTGCTGTGAAGATCTTTTAGGATGACTTCTTCCCATAAAATTCCTTTCTATATGAGATTCTTTCGTTGGATCACCACACTCTTTGGTATATTAAAGAGGCCTTACAAAGATCTTGGAAATCTTGGTAAGTTATTTTAAATTTTACTTGTATTTTTTAGCCTGTAAACTTCAATGGAAAGTGAACAAGTTTACCTATCAGTCGTAAATTATTTTAAGTAGATCTTTTCCGAGTTACACCGTCGTTTTCTTCGTGTTTTACGCGTCATCTAACTTGAGTGAATCTTAATGAACTAAGTTACAGTAGTCGAAGCCTCGTTAGCGGTAAGAACATCGTTTTAATTCATCAACGATTGTTGTTATCTGATGGACCTATCATTATACATGATTTTTAAATATTTACAGTCAGTTATTTATCACTTTACGGGTTTATTTAGGACCAACATGATGACCAGTTGGCTCGTTAGTTCAGTTGGTAGAGCGCTTCACCGGTATCGCAGAGGTCATTGGTTCAAATCCGTACAGCCTGAATTTTTTTAGGCCTTATTTCCACTACTGCTTAAGCAATGTTCATAACTGGGAAGATTACTTCCATATTTATTTCTTTATCTGCAATTCGCGTATACGATTTTCATATATTTACATTTGGACCTATCATTAATTTGAATATTCTCCCTTAATGTTAAAGATAGTGAGTAAACTTCTATCAGTTTTATTATTTTGCAATGCACATGTCACTGGCAACCACCAAACCAACTTCCTGCAAGGTGAGTGGAGGGGGAGGGAGGGCAACATGAGGCATGCTGAAGTCTCAGAAAGACACAATTTTGTAAAGATTTTGTCTCAAAATGTGGGGCATAATCCCCATTTGGTGATTGGCTTGGTGAAGTATCCACTGTGTATGGTATGTAGAGCATTATTGTGGTTCCTTTTTCTCATAGCTTGTCCTTACCTCCTCAAAACTTTAGAGTGCCAAATTGCATATTTCCAAATATATGAATGCAAGTGAATTGATATTGCTATAGAACAATCAAACAAGTTGACATCAAAGATGCCTTGTGCAAACAAAAAACTCACTGACTAAATATTACATAGCGAACATGCATGATTGTTCGTGAAATGGCAAATACTTATGTGTCTCTGGGCTGACCAGGGTTTCCAGTGACTAGTGTAAAAGTATCATGGAATAATACATTATAGAACATTATGCCTGTTGTGAACTTCATAAGTTATATGATGTTATTGTAAATATAACAGATAAAACAAAACAAAAAAGAAGAAGACACAGAAAAAAAAAAAGAAAAAAAAAGAAAAAAGAGAGAGAAGAAAAAAAATTGAAAGAAAAAGAGAAAATGAAAAAAAAAAGAAAAGAGAGAAGGGAAAACAAAAGTAAAAAAGAAAAAGAAAAAAACAGAGAAACAAGAATAGAGAAAATTATAGAAAAATAGAAAAAAAGAAAAGAGTGAAAATAAGATATAGAGGAGTAAAAAGAGGTGAGAAAAAATGAAAAAAGAAAGAAAATAAGATAATGAGAGGTTAAAAGAAATGAAAGTGAAAAAAAGGAGAAAATGAAATGAAGGAAAAGAAAAGATAGAGAAAAAGGAAAATAGGATGGAAAAGGGAGATATATGAATTAACAGTTAAGCATATTTGTCTGAATTGGTATTGCATCAGGGGTCAGGTCATGCATACTCACTCACAGGCAGCCCAAGCTCCAGCTGTAAGATGATCATCTTGAAAAATTAGAGTCATAGCGAAATTATAAGAATTTGTGTGGGAATATTTACAACTGCTCTGAGGATTAAAAAATATGGTCAAATTCTCAATAAAAATACCTCATCTTACTTCCACAGTGCATTGCTTGCTATCTGACCGCTTACTATGTTGAATAGAAACCATTTTGGCAAGTTATCCATTTATAGGTTTACTGCTTATATAAGAAAAGCCCTTACTTATGTTCGCAGTAAACCTAGAAATGGATAACTCGCCAAAATGGGTTATTTTCAATGTAGTAAGTGGTTAAATAGCTGAGACCTTGATTTTTCTGGGTATCACCAAAACCGAATCTAATTGTTTTATTACACATAAAACGAAAAAAAAAATATGGTCACGACAGTAAGTGGAACTGATAATATATTACGAAAGGTGTTAAGATATAAAAATCGGCAAGCAACACAAGGGGTGCAAACTTGACATGATTACCCTTAGAAATCATGCACCACTGTCCTTGACCTGGATTGACTGTACTGTACCTTATTTTGGTGCATTCAGGTTTGAAGGTTTAAAATTAAAATACTCCAATCTTTATGACTTCCCCCCAAAAAATCTCTTTCCCCCTTCCCTTCCAGGCAATTAATCAAGAAACATCCTATGCAATATCCTATGTTGAATAACGACTGAACTGAAAAACTTATGATGGTGTAATGAAATAGGCCAGTGCAGCTAGTGGGCTCTAATAATTAATAGTGAAAATGATTACAACTATGGTGAAACACATTTACATGTGATAAAATTTACCTCTACATTTCTAGTGCTAGTAGTTTATTAGTGCTTGCTCAGCATACGTTTTCTTATTCATTACTTCCATAGCTCAATATCCTAATTTTCTCTCCTAAGATTTTGCTTAAATTTCTCAATTCCGATTACAGAAAATATTTACCAAGTAGAAAATAAAATACTAATAATAAAGTACTAATACAATCTACGATACAGTTTTTTAATCACGTGTCGGTGAGAGGCCATCGTGAAATGAATGAGATGTTTATCGTCATCTATAACGTTATGGTAAGAAGTGAAAAAAAATTGCCTGGGTTTTTAGGCACCCTTTAACTCCCATGAGTGATCAAGACAGAATTTCTCCTTACAAAATCAATACAATATCAACCAGATAAGTGATGAGAATAAAGAAAAATATCAATTAGGGGATTATAAGTTGATCAAATACCAAATTCTCAAAACTAACCTCACAAGAACTGTATGGTAGCCTGTTAGAAGAATTATTTATGAGATCTGGCGAGTTAAGGATTAAGACATCCCTCTTTCTTAAGTGTAAGTTGCGCTTATAATCTCTGGTGCGAATGTCGAACTACGAGGATACTTCAAAGCATTCCATTGATACACTCACTCACTCCTACATTTCGACGACATATGTGGCTTCGCTCCCTGTAGGAGGCAATGGCCACAAAAATTATGAGTGTGAGCTTTCTTTGATAAGTTCAACGCACGATTGGCCCTTTTACAGTTGTGTAATTAGTTGCCAAGCCTTTGATTTGGAGTGAGGCTGAAGGTAACCTTGTTGTGATAGAGACCGTATCTAGTTAACATGATGATAAAGTAATTTACATTTGAAAAGCAGCAAGGTTTGTATCATAACAAGGTCACCCTTAGCCTCAAAATGGACCATTGAACCTGGTCCGTGGACTAAGGCTTTTATTCTTCGTTCGTGCCCCAAACTTCGCATCCGCTGGTGGTGGATTCAAGGGGCGGAAGGGGACGGGAGGGGGGATCTGCTTTCGGTCAGTTTTAACCACTTGTCTGGAACCAAAAATCTTTCAACGGCAGGACCACTTATTAATTCTTAACACGAGGTATCAAAATTTATCTTTCTTGAAATATCGCCTAGGTTATCGAGGAATTTATTGGGTCCTAAGTAAAAGAAAATAATGTTTTCTAAATAAAATTTTGGACTCTCCTCAACAAATATTTCCGGATCCGCCCCTGAGATATTTCAGATACGACAGTGTAAAACAGGTATCTTATATCCCAAACACGTTCAGTGATTGCTGCTGTTTTATCTCGTTTTTGAACATGAGACCCATGCATGGATCCATGCAAAGCTTCAACATCAATCACCCGGGTATTTGAACTTTTGAAGGTTGTTTCGTCCAAATTCCCACCAAAATTGTGTTTAAATGCCCTACTCAATAGTGAGCAATTTGTGTGATCAGCGAATGCAGTAGACTTAAGTGAAGTCACGTATTGGTTTTTGGTGCTGCTGTTGGGTTTTCTGCTTGTAAGCATCATTCTACGAAATAAAAATCGTCTATCTAAGCCATTTGCTCACGAAAGCGGATCCACCTTTACCTTTAAAATCCTCTATTAATACACATGTATTACGCTGGAAAGACTTTACACCTCCGGTTCAAATACCCCCACCCCACCGAAGCAAGGTTCAAATTCCCCGCCACCCAAGCACGGACGACAGTCAATTTTCCGTAGGTTGCCGGGAGAGAATGTTAAAGCAATGTGCGTTCTAATTAGCACTAATATTTTTTGGATAGAATTCACATCTATTCAGATTTTTTTCGCCCCCGTGATGCTCGTTTAACACCACAAGTTTAGGCTTTGGCGTTTTTGCTCCCAGAAAAAACCGACGGGAGCTAGAACGCGGTTTTCCTTGCATTGCAGACGAAAACGAAGAAAGTGAAGATGACTTCGCTCATTGGGAAGAATATATGAAGAGATTCCACATCTTAATGAAGGTAAGTGGGCACTAATTCATGATTTCCCCCTCAACTAAGCCCTTTTATTAAGTTTTTTTTGTCTGATTTAAAAGAAAAAGATTACGCACTTAAATTTGTCGAGGATGGCCACTTTTGCCTCTCCAATCGTTTGTTCCCTATGCATATTTCATGGGGGATCAGGTCTAAGCAGCTTTTTAGGGCTGTAAATTGTTAAGAAAAGAGTTACAAGGAAAATCTTGAAGGGATTTCAAAGTTTGATGTTAGCCAATATTAGCATAACCTTCCTCCTTTGAAACAACATTCTTTAAGATCCTCAATGATCTCATTCTTTTTCGAAGGAAAATGGTCGCCATCCTTTTAAATACGGAATTTGGCCACGGCAACGTACTCGTAAAGAAAAAAAGATTCCAGAAGCTGTCCGTAGGACATTGATGAAGCTGCTAGACATCGAGTCCAAGCCCGGAAACTGGAGGTGTCTGGCTGAAAGTTTAGGAGCTTCTTGCTCAGATATACAATTCCTGGGAAACCGTAACCACGAATCACCAACGCAACACGTCCTTAACGTATTTGAAACAATGAACAAGCCTTTAACTTTTCTGAGAGACTTCTTCATTGGCATTAACCGCTACGATGTTGTTACTGTGTTAAATGACGAGATTAATAGACGCTGAATAGGCCGCTGGTCAGGGAATGAGCCCACACTCCTCCCCGCTCCTCTTCAACGAAATCGATTGGATTCGTAATGGCTGTGAAAGACAGTGGGTTCCTCACTGACCTTGACCAGCGTTAAATTACGAGATAAATATATTCCGAGAAGGCCACTGTTTAGGGAATGAGACCACGCCCACCTTGGTCCACAAAGAAATCGAGCTTGGACCCGCAGTGGATGTAAAAGACATAGGAAAATATCAACTCAACGCTCAGTGCAGTCCTCATATTACTCTCTTAATAAGAGATGTATATTGATGAAGTTAGCGTTGTTACGGGAAAACTTAGTGATTTTCCCGTGTGTTTGTTTGGAACATATTTACGCACAAAACTTTCAAGTTACCCGTTTTCGATTTATTGAAGTTGTTTCGCTCTAGTATTTCAAAGAGTATAGAAAAGCCACGGTAGCTTTTGAATTGCCAACTATTACATTATTGCTTATTACAAATATGCTGTTATGAAAGGGTTTTCTTTTTGATACACAATAAGTATAGCAGCAGAATAAGAGAGGCAGGGAATACAAATAAATCCATTTTCATGTTAACCATCAATTTTCGATTAATTCAAGTTCTTTCGCTTTGGTATTTCAAAAAATATAGAAAAGCCACAGTAGCTTTTGAATTGCTAACTATTACATTATTGCTTATTATCAATATGCTGCTATGAAATGGTTTTATTTTTGATACGCAATAAGGATAGCAGCAGAATAAGAGAGGCAGGGAATACTAATAAATCCATTTTAAATGCTACGAGGGGTGTGAGTGTTTATTGTGGCTACAAATTTTGGTGTTAATTGAAATCATTACAGTTTGCTCGAATGTGATTGGTATAAGAACTCCTTAATTTTTCAGTGTATCGAGACGGTCGGTCGTAATTGGACACTTCTAATCGGACAATTACATCAGCCAATCATACTGAGTATATTGAAATGAATTCGCCAATCACAAAATTGATTACAGTGAGTATAGCAACAACTTGCCATGCAAAGCTGGGGATTTCTAAAACTGGAGGAATTTAATACTTTCGATAATATCCATGCTGGAGATATTTTCTCTAATTTTCGAGAACAAATTAAGCTGTCACCTCACATTTATTGTTTCAATTGGGCTCTTGACATTATTTCGATATGAGAACCGATCTTCCGTGCTTTAGACTACAAAACTCGTCGAGGTTTGTTGGGTCACCATAATTCGATTAAAGAGGCTTCAAAGACATGGTAAATTCCCCAAAAACAACTAAGAATGCAAATTTTATGATTGGAAATTCTAAGCGTCTCTCTTTATTCGTAATCGGAAAATTCTACTTTACAGTTGAACTAATGTTGGGCAGAAAATTGGCTCAGCCACTATAAGGTGGGCCTCTTTACTCACTTAGGTTTTGTCTTTATTCGCACAATCGTCTTCCTCTGACCTGAATCAATAACGTCTTTTAAGAACGGTTTGTACATTTTGAATATAACAACCTAAAATTTTTATGTAAGTGAAATTATTTGATGTGAAAAAGTATATTATCTATGTTATTATCTGACCAACTGAGCACCTACCCCTCCCCAAACACAAAAACAGTCAACTGATAGCAAGTAAGGGTTAAAGTTGGGTTAGGGGAGGGGTCGGTGAGCCGTTGCTCAATTACGACACTGATCTGAAACTTTAAAAAAGCAAGTTGGACAACTCGTGGTCTCGTCTCAACGACATACAGGAAAGAACTTTGATAATGTTAGACTTGATTGTTCCCTGTCCGATATATCAGTTGCTGTTTGTTGAATTGTTAATTTCTGAATATCATTATTGTAACCAAGTCGTCTAACAGCTTCTTTGAGCTGACAGTTTAAAGTAGTTTGTTGTTTTTAATTGCTAAAGTTTTTTTTTTTGTTTCTTCTGTCGTTGTTGTTTTGCTTTTAATTTTTTTTCTGTTTTCCTTGCTTTAATTTTCTTTTTTTTCTGACGTCAAGGAGTCTTTGACCAGAATATTCAAAAAGCGGGATCAAACACTGAAAAATATCTTTTCTGTCCATGTACCGTTGAAGCGTCTCCTCACTTGCGGCTCTTACCCCCAAGCCGTTTTGGATGTCAATTTGGGAATGTATTACATCAGAAACTCATTACAAATACGCAGTTATACACGCTCACTGAGGAGCAGATGACTATCAAAACCACAAATAAAGTCATTGGTTGATTGAGCTAAGATCAAATGGTTTGCGCCATTTTTTGCATCGGCTCAAACTGGCGTGCACTTCATAAAAATGTACACATCCCCTTGAAAAGGTTGCGATAAACGAAGGTTACGAGGGTGAGGATCCGGGGCATGTAAAAGAAATCAGAAATAACTCAAAAGAGGACATCGGCCAGGTTAGCGCGGAATGATCCACCTAACACAGTTTGCGAAACGTTTGAAGATAGAACGAACTGGGAGAAGTGATCAAATTGGCGATATTTGGGCCTCGTTATCATCGCATGCTTGGTTTCACTGAGTTGTTACCCTTCTTCCAAGTTTGCTGATGGTGTGCGAAAAATTCGGTGAATGTGAGTGTTACAAAAGCGAAGGTTTGCAGTTATAAGTGAAAATCTCGTCAGTCAAAATAAGAGTCCACATATGGCGGCTTACTGTTTAATAGAAACACACGGGAAGATTTCTCTACAAGAAAGAGGGTTTTATTGTTTCTCTTTCAAAATCATTAGATAAAAAAATGGTATTTCTGACGATTGAGTCTGCGAATAAGGCAGAAATTAATATCAGCACGAGATACGACAAGGCCTGGGCTTTAGGCCCGAGCATCATGGGTAATGATGCAGTGGTATATAAAGGAGAGTATAGCACGTGATGACCATCTAGGCCTCAAAACCAACCGTCCACCTATGGCTGATGACAAATTTATTTTAGTTTGAAAACTTATTTTGTTTAACTGTGAAGCCTCGTAGGACAGGTTGCCAACTGCTCTGAGTTTGGGCCATGGTTCCAACCCGATTTCCTGTGATATTTTTTCCCCAAAGGGATTTTCTCTGGGAGGTTTTTTTTGGCCTCCGTATAACTGTAGTAATGTCCTTGTAGGCGGTTGCCCATTTCTGTTAATCCCGACTTGGTGAGGTTTGCATGTTAGCAATGTATACCTATTTTTGAATGTGTAAGGAATTGACTGTATATCAGGATTGTATATGGTATACCAGTTGCAATTGCGAATGTATGTATGTATGTATGCCTCGGGCAATATATGCCTCGGGTTGGTTCTCGGCAGGCGTCCCTAAATAAATTTTTTTTTGGTTTACACTACTGTGTTATTTGTTGTGTAATGGAGACTAAATAATTGTAATAAGTGGGAAGTTAAGGTAATCTCATGTTAAATAACTTTTTTTCGTGGAATTATATTATAATTATCACTAGCATCATTATTATTATTATTATTATTATAATTACTATTATTACTATCATTATTACAAATGTCTCTGTGTAAGTTTAGGTTATAATAATAATTTTAGATTACAATGATGTTAGATTATGTGTTTTACTCAAAAGATGACAATAAAGATGGAATTTCTATTATTATTTTTTTTAAGAGGGCACGGTAACGAATCCTGCAATCTGATTGGTTCTTTA